GTACCCTGGTGTTCCCAGCTATGAGGCAAAGAGAGCATAGAGATGAGGAATCAGGTAGCAACCATACCAGAGAATCCAAAGATAGTGCTGATGGACACTAGACCCAGGGAACAAACAAAGGCACGGGGAGTAAACCATAGTCTCCAAAGAGGACTCCTTGTCCTAAGGGAAGGCTGACCAGTGACAAGTTGCCAGAACTGAGACCATGAGACCCATCCCATTCTTAGCCTGGTAGGAAGTAACCCAGGTTTTATTCTGGGAAAAAGTTCAGGGTCAAGGCAGCAGTCAGGATAGTTGGATACCAAGGATTTAAATACAGAGCTGGAGCTGAGCACATGCTTCTCACCATCGGAGGGGGAGCTGGAGCCGAGCAGAGGAGGCCAAATGGCTTCATGCACTGAGGGGAGCAGTGAGCAGGGTGCATCCCAGAAGAATCTCCATGAGTGGAAAACTGCTTATAGGCATGAAGTAATATCCTCAGAAGAGAGCCTGCCTGTTCTAGGCATTTAGAAGAGGTACGGAAAAGTCCTCAGTGAATCAAGACAAGCCAGAAAAAGAAAAATCACCTGTAACACAGCAAAGGTATGGAACAGGTCAGAGGTTTGGTTTCATTCAAGGACATGATTTCTGCAATATGAGAACAAAGAGCAAAAGTTTCTCCAAGCCTCAGTTTCCCTTTATAATAAAATGTGCGGTTGGAGCAGATGTTCTCAAAGGTCTCTCGTCCAGCTCTGACAGCCTGTGATTACATGAATCACCCTGGAAGAAACGTGCGCAAGTGGGAAGAGCCGCCAAGACTGGGCCTTTCATTCTGAGTAATGAACCGAAACCGCGAAGGCTTGACATCTGTTCCGATCTTTCAAGGGAAGTTGCACAAAATAATGCCTTTTTTCAGGGAAATCGTTACTAACAGTGAAATATAGTATTTTCTGCCTAAGCCAAAAATGAAGTGGAGAACGCCGGCCTCCCTGAAGCCCAAGGGAGAACACACATCCAAACTCCCAGCGAAGGTCATATTGGCTGATTACCTTGCTGCCATAGGCACAGAAAACTGTGGGTACTGCTGCTGCCCAGTCCCATTAGAGCCGAAAGCAGGAGTGGCAGGGAGGTGCTGAAGGCCCTGAGAGAGTCTAGGGAAAGAAAGAGGGCTCCTGGGCACTGTGACTGGCTTCCCACCAGCCCCTGGGACATTCTCACGTAATAAACATCACCCACAACACCTTAATCTCATCCAACTTGCTATCAAAAGGCCCAGGAAGATCCCCCACCATCAACTTGGGAGTTTCTGCCCAAGAACCCTTTGCAAACCCAGAGGCCATTTCCAGAGAGCAGTCCAAGTGCATTCTAACTTTGGAGTCAAACTAGAATCAAAGTTCTAGAATCAAAGCAACACTACATCCTCCTAACAACATCATTATAGAAGATCCTAGGACTTCAGGACTGAAAGAGAACTTCATGGTGCTCGCCTTGGCCTGCACCACCCAGGAATCATGTCTGCACTCAAAGCAGAAGCTCACCGGACTAGATCTCCGGCTTGCTCCTGTGTTCCAGCTGGGCCAGGGTCTGGGCACAGTAGGTCTTAAGTAAAGGTGCCAGTCTTCATGTTCCCTGAGCATTCTTGCCCTTGTGTCACTGAACTCAGAAGAGTCCAGGAGCGGGGTTAGCTGCCCTGTTCTTTTCTGCCTCCAGGGCTAGGCAAGCTCCAGAAATTTGTAAGAGGAAGGCTACAGTGTAATGAGCCTTTTATATGGGCTACTCTTCCCTGTCCTTCCTGAGGTTTGTCTATTGCTGTTTGTTTCATAAAGTCAGAGGACAACTTGCAAGAGTTTGCTCTTTCCATCTACCATGTAGGTCCCAGGGATTGAACTCAGGTCATTTCTTGGTGACAAGGATCTTTGCTCCCTGAGCCATCTTGCTGGCCCTTTCCTGGGTTTTGAAGTTCACCAAATCTTGGGCCCCAGGATCCATGTTGGGATATGGGGGTGACATTAGAAGGAGAAACACTGAGGAGAACAATAGAGTTGGGTGTCTCCTAGTTGCCCCAAGCCTGGGGCACCCACAGAACTGTCTAGACTGGGGTTCAACACATGCTGGCCCTTATCTCCGGGTCTGATTTCTGTTGAAATACTAGTCCCCATTCTGAGATAAGTGGAGTCTGAGCTAGTGCTAATTTGTTAAACAATTTGATTAATACCCATCTCTCCTACTAGACCATAGAGCCATGGGAGTAGAAACTATGTCTCAGCTCCTGTATCTCTAGAGCCTGATGGGTCTCATAAAATAGTGGATGGATGGATAGATGGATGAATGGATGGATGGATTGATAAATGGAGGGCAGTTAGATAAAAGAATAAATAGGTGAATGGGTGTATAAGTGGATGGATGGATGGGTGGGTGGATGAGGGGGTAAATGGATGAACAGATGAACTGATGGGTAGGTAGGTAGGTGGATGGATGGATAGCTAGGTGGGTAGGTGAATGAATATATGGATGGATGAATGAATGGATAGATGCCTGTTTGAATGGATAGATGGGTCAAGCCAGTGATGAGCTGTCTAGGTGGATTGCTTTGGCAGGATTTTTCAGAGGCATGCTCCATCTTGGCAAAGGGTCTTTAGTGTTGGTCTTTAGGTCTCCTGTACCTTTCTATTCTGCCGTATCTGAGGAAGGGAAGTGATAACACGATTCACAGTTTGGGATATAAATACCCACAGGAACTAAAGAGGTAGCTTTTCTAAAGGGAACACTATTAAATTACTCCAGAGTCCAAGAGGCACTTTGAGATGCAGAGAGAACAGTTGAGTCAGCCACAGCCCTAACCATGTGAGGACACTGGGCTCCTTGGGAGAGAGCGAGCTCCTGGGAGTCCAGAATGGGAGACTGCTAGGGAGGGCTCTGGAAGAGGCAGCATATGTCCAAAAGAATATAAACTATCTGAAGAATTAGAGAGAGAGAGGGCAAGCATGAAGGTGAACAGTGGGTATAGGGAACAGGACACCATTTAATGGGGCCTCAGGCAAGACATGGTGGGGGAGAGTTTTTTAGAATTTTAACCAGAAAAGGCTCAGACCAAAGAAATAGAACTTTAAGAACACCCCTCATTAAACTTGTGACGCAGTGACCTGTATCAGCATATGAACATCTCCCTCCTCCGCACCCAGCTCCATGTTAGCCCCTGCCAGTGAGGCATTGGATATGTCTGTTCAATTTCTTGCACACCTTCATCCTCTAAGGAGGGTATCGTGTGTGTGTGTGTGTGCATGTGTGTGTGTGCGTTATGTGTTCAAGAGAGTGTGTGTGTGTGTGTGTGTGTGTGTGTGTGTGTGTGCAGGTGCAGGTACACACAGATCAGAGATTGGCATCAGATATTTCCTTCAATCACTTTCCCCTTATTCCTTTCTAAAAATATTTTATTTGGGCTGGAGAGATGGCTCAGCGGTTAAGAGCACTGACTGCTCTTTCAGAGGACCCGGGTTCGATTCCCAGCACCCACATGGTAGCTACGAACCATCCTTAACTCCAGTTCCAGGGGAACCCGAAGCCCTCTTCTGACCTCTGAGGCATTGCATGACATGGGTGAACTCACATACATGCAGGCAATACACTCATACGCATAAAATAAAAATTGTAAATAAAATATGACATGGGTGCACTCACTTGCATGCAGGCAAATACACTCATACACGTATTTTTAAAAATATTTTATTTATAATTTTTATTTCATGTGTATGAGTGTATTGCCTGCATGCATGTAAGTGCATTTGTGTTGTGCAATGCCCACAAAAGTCAGAAGAGAGCATTGGATCCCCTGGAATTGAAGTCACGGATAGTTGTTAGCCACCATGTAAGTGCTGGGAACCAAACCCGGGTCCTCTGCAAGAGAAGTCAGTGCTCTTAACCTCTGAGTCATCTCTCCAGCCCCTCTCTGCCTTATTATTGAGTCAAGGTCTCTGATTGAACCTGGACTTTACCAGTTGGCTGGACTGACTGACCAATGAGCAGTGCTGGGTTTACAGACTCTCTTGGCATCTGGGTTTTAATGTGCATGTTGGGGATCCAAACTCAGGTCCTCATTCTTACACAGCAAACATTTTACCAACCGAGCCATCTCTGATCCCTAGTGGGTATTATCTTTGTCTAACTAGCTTTGGGATAGGTTTTAGGATATGATGACTATCTGATGGGGCTAAATCAGTGGAGAAGGTGTGAGAGGAGAAAGCAGATCGAAGTAAAGGTCATTGTGGCTTCTGTGTTCCTTATGGCATTTGAAAGGCACAGGATCATGAGCTAGTTTGAACTGTCTATAGGTTGCTGAACTGTATTCATTTGATACCGCCTCCCTGGAACGGACCTCATGGGTTTTCACCCTCTGCATGTTTCTGTCACAGTCTTCTTCCTCAAGGCCAAGCACTCTTGGAGAACAAAGGTTAAGTTGATCTGTGTTAACATACGCACATCTTTGTCTCCCCCACACCTTGGGCCAGGAACGTCAGTCAGTATTGAAACTGTAGAGTGGATAAGTGGGCCTAGGGAGATAGCTCAGTTAGTAAAGCGTTTGCCTTAAAAACACAAAGACCTGCATTTGATCCCCAGAACCCGTGTGGGAAAAAAAAAAGCCAGATATGGTGGAGCACACATGTAATCCTGGTGCTGGAGAGGCAGAAACAGGCAGAGTTCTAGAGCTTGCTAGCCAGACAGCCTAGCTTACTTCACAAGTCCCAGGCCTGTGAGAGACCCTGCCTTAAAAATCGAAGTTGACAGCAACTGAGGAATGACACTCATGGTTGTCCTCAGGCCTCCACAGGTGTATATGCACGCAGGAACACACACGTATCACACACACACACACACACACACATAAACACAAATACACACAAGAGATTAGTTAAGTGACCTTGGGCTCAAGTAACTGGCACCATCTCAACCCCTTACCCAAGAAGGGTTCTCCATCACCTCCAACCCAAGACTTTGTTCACTGTCTGCCTGTGGTCTTATTGCAGAAGGCAGATCTGGCTGTGGCTCCCCTGACCATCACCCATGTCCGTGAGAAAGCCATCGATTTCTCTAAGCCCTTCATGACCCTCGGCGTGAGCATCTTGTATCGAAAGCCCAATGGCACCAACCCCAGCGTCTTCTCCTTCCTCAATCCCCTTTCCCCGGACATCTGGATGTACGTGCTCCTTGCCTACCTGGGTGTCAGCTGTGTTCTCTTCGTCATCGCCAGGTAAGATTATGCCTTGGAAAAAGCTCTGGTCCAAACTGGAAAGCTTGGGGAGTCAGATGAGAGCCCCATCCTCAGCTCCTGGCTCAGAAGGCCCAAGGTTTGGACTACTAGGGCACCTACCACTCTTTCCCTCCCTATGACTTAGATTTTTTGTCCCCTTCAGAGGCCCTCTGAGGCCATTTCATGGCCCTCTGAGCATGAATCACCCTGTCAGTCCTCCTTCTGGTTTGTGTGTATAACCCTGAAATATGATAGTTTTATCCTGGTCCCCAAAATAAGCTGGGAGAAACCAAATCATTGATCAGAACTGCACCACCAGGCCAGGGACTTTTTATAGCAGCCCCAAGTGCATTACATGAACTTAAAACATGGAAAATAAATGGTATCTATATAGTCCACAACAGCAGAGGAACTGATCCCCATCAACTACACACATCACATAGAGAAACATGACACACAAACATACCTGCTATTCTGGTTTGCTTTCTGTTGCTGTGGTAAAGCATTCTGACCAAAAGCAACTTAAGGAGGAAAGGGTTTATTTGTCTTATGCTTCTAGGTCACACTCTATCATTGAGGGAAGTCGGGGCAAGAACTCAAGCAGGAAATGAAGCAGAAACCATGGAAGACTGCTGCTTACTGAGTCTCACTTGGCTCATGCTCAGCTAGCTATCCCAGGCCCACCTTCCTAGGGATGGTGCTGCCCACAGCATGCTGGGCCCTCCCACATCAATCATCAGCCAAGACAATCTCTCACAGACATGGTCACAGACCAGTTCTTCAGCTGAGATTCTTTCTTCCCAAGTGTGTCAAGTTGACTATAAAAACTAACCAGGACACCTGCCTGTCTGGGACCCATGCTCATACATCACCTGTACACACACACACACACACACACACACACACACACACTACACACACACACACACACACACACACACACACACACATACACATACACACCTGCCTGCTTGAGATCCAATGCTTGCACCATGTCTACCCATTGCATTATTCAAGACACAGTGGTAGGAGGGGGTCACTAGAGAAGCAAGTTTAGGCCATGTATAGCGAGCACCCAATGTTTGCCAAGCACCCTCTTCTACATCCTGCTACCTTTCCCTTTGCTCTCCAGCCTCCCTTAAAGAGGAGACACACGAGGCCCACTGAGGCCATACAAAAAGTAAATTGCTGAAGAGATGGCTCTGTGGTCAAGAGCAATGGGTGCTCGCTTCAATTCCCAGCACCCATATGGCACCCATATACCATCCATAACTCCAGTTCCAGGGATATGATGCCCTTTTCTGATCTCTACAGGCATTGCACAACACAAGTACACCTAGCCGCATGCAAAGCAATACACTCATACATGTAAAATTTTAAAAAAATATTTTTTAAAAAAGCAAGTCACATATCAGAGATGTGCACCTGAGTCACACACTTAAGGTTTCGTTTGCTACTCACACCTCTGGCCACTGCTTGACCCCTGCCTCATGCTCCCAGGCCCTCCCAGATGTGCCCTCTGCCCATCTCTCTAAACCCCATCATGGCCCCTGCCCCTAGGTCCTTTTTCACCTAGTCTAACAAGGTATAAAGAGAAACTTCTCTGGAGAAGCAATTTGAGATCCAAGGGCCTAGAGCTTTCTTTGAAAGCCTCCCCCACTTCTCCACTCCTTCACTCTCTGCCTCCTCCCACACAGAGAAAGACCAAAGGAAGAATGTGAGGGGCAAAATCATCCTGCCTCCCAAGCCTTTGCTGCAGAGCCTGGTGCTGCTGCAGCTGCCCTGTGCTCGGCCCGGCCAGCCCCGAGCCTTCAGAGAGGCCTTCATCACCCCTCTTGTCTCTAATGGTCTAACAAGCCTTTGAAAGCAGAGCTGCTCTCTTGTGCTCTCAGCGTAATTTTCGAAGCTCCAGTGGCCTCTCAGCCGCCCACCCCTCTGAGACAGGAGCATTTCCAGCTCTAGTTCTATTTGATGCGTGTCTCTTTGCCCCTCAGATAGGGGCCTTCCATCAGCTGCAGACTGCTGAGTCTGCATGAAGGCCCTTCCTCCCGGCGAGGAAGGCAGGAGACCCCTCCCAAGGCTAGCCTGGGGATGCTTAGGAAGAGTGAGGATTTCTGGTGTGGCTAGGATGCCACCAGGTACATGCAGAGGGAGAAGAAGGATGAAGATCTTGGCCACAGAGCTGAGAAAAGCATCTAAGTACACTTGACACCTCATGGATCATCCACACAGCATGGCTCACAACTGCTGTATCAAACCCTTGCAACAATAGCTCTGTAAGGTAGGATAATTATCCCCACATTACAGAAGCAGAAACTGAGGCTCAGAGACATTAAATCAGATCAGAGACATTAAATCAATGCCCAGAGTCTCAAAGCTTTCCTTACAGGGTCCCACTTTAAATTTAACACAGGTGACATTAGGGAGTGAAGCAGGCAAGCCACCACTGGCAGCACATTGCAGCACACACAATGGACTCAAGGGGGCACCACTGAGCACCTGCAGGCTGAGGACAGGGCAGAGGTGTAGGGCCAGTAACTCACACAATACCCTCTTTGTTCAGCAACATCCATTCCATCTTCTCTCCCGTAGCCTTGTCTCTCTGGCCTTCTGTAAGGTCCTGGGCTTCTCCTACACTGTCAAATGGGCACCAAGTGCTGTGGACCTTTCTTGGGTTGGGGAAACCTCAGCCTATGAAAGCATTTAACTACCAAGAGGCCCCTGTGGAACCAGTATGCTTATCAGGATAAGCAGTTCTGCCCCTGGGAACTTGTTCTGTAAAACCTCACCATTGACCTACACTGGAATCTAAAAGTGCCTTCATGGCAGAGCCCCAGGGGACACTGCTACCCTTTGGTGTCAGAGACCAGAGGGCATGTTTGGGTTGTTTTGTTTGCTTTCAGCAGTGGGAAGTGGGTCAGCTTCAGTGCCTACCAGTAGAGGAATGGTTAAAACCGCTATGAGTGGTTTAGAGAGCACAGGCAGTTCAGAAGGATTGATTTGGCGGTGCCTTTCTACATAGAAACCCAAATACTAGGACAGGATAATGGGGTGATGAGGTAATTTTTGATGTTAAAAACTGTGTGTGTGTGTGTGTGTGTCTGTGTGCACGCACGTACGTGCACATACACACTCAGGGGCATGCCATACCCACTCATGAGTAGTATTTTAAAAGCAGAAAGATGGCTGCATGGGGAAAGGCATCTACCACAAAGCCTGAGGACCTGAGTTAGATCCCTGGGTCCCATATGGTGGAAGGAGAGAACTGACTCCTGCAGGTTGTTCTCTGATCCCCATGTGCATGCCATAGCATGCACACACCCACACACACAAAATAAAAGATAGATAGATGATAGATAGATAGATAGATAGATAGATAGATAGATAGATAGATAGATGCAATAAATCTTTTTAAGAAAAGCCAGGCATGGTGGCACACACCTTTAATCCCAGCACTCAGGAGGTAGAGGTAGGCAGATCTCTCTGAGATCAAGCCAGCCTGGTCTACATAGTAAGTTCTAGGACAGCTGGGACCACAGGGAGACCCTGTCTCAAAAAGACCAGAAAAATATTTTTTTAATAACTAGAAGAGCAAGATCCATGAGCTCTGCTCAGAACTCGTGTTTCTTCTGCTCTTAGTCCTCTGGCCAGCAGACCTGGAGGAGCCGTTCTCGTCATTGCCAGTGCAAACTGTCACAATCTGTGACTTTTGGCTCCCCTCTCAGCCCTGTGTTTCCAGCCAGCCTGTGACCTCTGCCTGTTGGGCTTCCATTGCCTTTCTAGCATGAAGCCAAGGTGGACCTGGGTCACATTCTTTTCTGCATGGGCTCAGGGCAGGGGTGGGAAGCATTGTACATCCAATATCCCTAGATCTGGTGGACTCTGGGTCTGCGGCTGGAACTCTCTTTCCAACTACAATGCATGCACCCACTCAGCCCTGCCCTCTGGACTCCCTGGGCACATCTGCTCTGCCACACAACTGCACACAGCATCCTGTGAGCTCCAGGCCCTCCACTCTAGGCATCCAGCCCACCAAAGGCTTTCCCCATATCCTTTCCCCAAAATGTCCCTCAGCTCTGCTTTCCTGTGCCTTGGCCTCTTCCTTGGAGGATTTTAGAGCCTCTAACCAGGTCCTGGTCATTCCTTTTGACAATCCTCAACTTTATTTTAAATGTCACATTGCAGTTTTCTATCTGGGGGTATCCTGCTTCATGAGAACAAAATTTTCCTCACCCGAACCCTGGGAGTAAGTAATGTACTTACTTCCTCTGTGAGAAGGGAGCTGGAAAAGAAATGTCAGAAGTTTCACTTAAAGGTGTTCACTGAAAGGTGAAACTAAATTTCCTAGACTCATCTCTTTTCCCCTCTCATCCCCGCACCCCCGATTCAGGGATTTCTCAGTCTCTCCATCTTCCCAACATCTTCAAACTGACACGTCTACTAGTGGAACTCAGCCGGTTAGTCAGACTTCCCTCCCATAGCCAGTAGTCCTCTTCCGCAAAAGGCAGTGGAGGGCTTTAAATAACCTTTTTCCTGTCCGATATATGTTCATTTGCTCAAACACAGAAACCTGAAGGAGTAAATCCTGCCTTGTCCTCTCCATGGGTAGGATTCTGGGGTCCTTGAACCTTTTTCTTTGTAGTGTCTTATATATGATTTGAATATTTTGTAATAAATTTATTTTATAATAAATTTTTATTATACAAGAAATTCAAACACATGTTCTCATGATGACAAAAATTCATGTAATACAAATAAAAACAGGCTTGCCCAAAATTCCTTCTACCCTCCTTACCGCTCTCCCCTGAGATAAACACTTGACATTTTTGTGTATGGAAACTTCCAGACCCCTTGGTGTGCATCCACATATAGATTTACCTGTAGAACGGAGCAGTAATATCTTAGGGAATCTATTTATATAAATGGGATTGTGTTCTTCTTATTTTTGATTACTTTCTTTTAACAAGATATTCTGTGTTGCAGACCTTTCCTGGTATAGGGGCTTCTAGAAGCATCCTGCTCTCTTTAAGAGCTGTGTGATATTCAGCACGACTCTGGTGTGGCTTATTTAATCTTTCCTCTACTGAAGGACATTTAGAGTATTTTCCTTTCCTTTGCTACTGCAAACAACGCTTTGATAAACACCCCTGTGGACTTCCCTTTGTGCGTCTTTATAAGTGTTTAGCCCAGATGGATAATGAGTTGTGGCTTCCCTAGGTAGAAGGGCACACACACTTTTAATTCGAAGAGGTGCCTCAGAATTACTTATATAACCAGAAAAGGGCACTGTCAGTAAAGGACAGGAAAAAATATGGTCCCAACTGGCCCTTGACTATCTCCCTAGCCAAGCACTGAGGAAAGGGTCCCTGGAATGGTGGTTGCCCCATGCTGCTGCTTGCTAACCTTCCCTCTCCCACAGCTCAGCCTCACTGTTTCCTTCTGCCCCGCAGATTCAGCCCTTATGAATGGTATGACGCCCATCCCTGCAACCCCGGCTCCGAGGTGGTGGAGAATAACTTCACTCTGCTCAACAGCTTCTGGTTCGGAATGGGTTCCTTGATGCAACAAGGTGTGTGTCTGCCTCTCCCAGCCTTCTCTCCTGGGAAAGGTGGCTTCTCTCTCCAGTGGGTCCTTTGGCCTCTCAGGAGGCGGCCTCAGACCCCACTGAGCCATCAGAAGGTTGAAGACACAGAGACCTTGGTGTGTACCCTCACCCCAGATCCCCACCCTGCTCCTCTGCTCTGCCTGGAGCCAGCTCAGGATCTGAAGCAGGTCAGCCACTACAACCTGTGGCATGCAAGAGATAACCCCAGCACTAAGCAGAAGGGAGAACCCTGCTTGCCAGGCTGACCCTGGTGGCTTCTCCACTGTAGAATGAAGCTACACAGAGCTGAACTGGGGATGGGGGACCCTAGAGGCAGGAAGGCGGGGCAGGAGGCACTATTGGACAGCACCATGAGGCTATAGGACTGAGTACACTAAGAGGACTCCAATAGTCGCTTGTTTGGGACTCAGTGACTACCTGGTAGTAGGCAGGGTTGACTGAGAACAGGACCTCCACCTGAGTACATCAGAGACAGGTTTCATGGAGGACAATTCTCCTCCATCCTGTAGAGGGGCCCTGGCTGACTAGCCCTATGTATGGCTTCAGCCCCTTTACAATGTCTGCAGTTGCTTAAATATCTAGGAAGCCACTGAGCAGGGTGGCTCATACCTATGCTCTCAGCACCTGGGTGAGACAGGAGGATTGCCACTATGAGTTCAAGGCAAGCAAGCCTAGGCTACAGAGTGAGACCCTGCCTAAAAATTAGGGGGTGGGGGGAAAGCCACTTGCCACCAAGCCTAATGACCCAAGTTTGATCTTCAGGACCCATATGGCAGAAGGAAAGAACCAAAAGTTGTCCATCACCCTACACACACACACACACACACACACACACACACACACACACTAAGTAAATGTAATTTTTTTAAAAAGGAAAAGAAAAAAAACCAGGAAGCAATGCACCTACTCTAATTGCAAGGCATAGATACAGAGACACATAGGGACTGGAGGGCAGGCACAGAGGGAGGGCCAGCTGGGAAAATAACCCAAGGAGAACAGTCTCCAGCCCACTGATAGGAGCCCTGTGCCTACCACCTCTGCCTATGGATTCCCAGGACCAGACACTCTTGGCCTGTGGAGTGAGGAGCAGCTAAGACTCTGTATGTGTGAGAGTGCCACTGAGGGACCTTACCAGGAGGCAGGGGAGGAGGGGTTCAAGAGACGAAGAAAACGTCCTTGTCCTTCATGCCTCTGTGTGTATCCTCAAGACCCAGCACAAGCCCTGGTCCTCAAGAGGTATCCATCAGCATATGCTAGATGAATGAGAGAACGAATGAATGAAGGAATGAATGACATTATCCTGCGTGGCTGCTGTAAGTCCTCCACTGGGCTGCAGGCACAGGGGAGAAGAAGAGGAAATAGACACCCCCCAGCACCCACCCGGAAAGACATCTCAGCCATGGACTCCAATAGCTGGAAAGTGACAGGCAGCTTTCAAGGGAAGTGCCTCCATCTGTCCCTGCTATTAACGAGCGTCCCGAAGCCTCACCTTGCTTCTTTGCCCATCATCTTTGTTCAGTGACAGTTGACAAAGACCCTGAAGCTCCCTCATTGCAGTAAAAGCTTCTCTTCTACTGCTGGCTGCTACTCAGAGCCTGGGCCCCCGATGCATTCTCTGCATGGTTTTGATTAGGAGGAGAAAAAAAAACTAGTTATGTATTTGAAAAACTCTCCCTTGAGTGACTTCTTTGAGAAATAAAAAATCATCCATATCAAAGCAGGCGCTTTCAGATTGCAGGTCCAAATATTCTAGAAAGTTCAGGAGTCACTTGCTATTTAAATCTCTTGAAAGCCGTCTAGTTAATTACTTCAGTTAGAAGGTTTCATCTGAATTGTGCTCCGCACCCAAGGTCGTGGAGGAAGAGTGATATATTTCAGCAAAGAGCTTCCAAAAATGTTGATTTTTCTCCTCCTGCCAAGTGCCACACAGCAATCTCATATTTGTATATGCTCGTATGTCTGACGCATCTCTCCTCAAATTATATCATTGCGGCATCGCAGTATTTCCATAAGGTTGGGACAGAGGAAGGACAGTTCTTCACACTTTGCAGAGTTTGGGACAGAGGAATTGTCTGGCCTAAGAGCACATAGAGAGTTGGGAGCAGGATTCACTCCAGAGATCAGAAGCTCTGCTGACCCCCACATCAGTCCACAGATAGGCATCCAAGGAGAGCCTGTGAAATGTGTGTGTGTGTGTGTGTGTGCGCACGTGCCTGAGAATATGTGTAGGGCAGTCTGGCCCAATACCAACACCAGAGCCTGGGAATGACAGACAGCTGTAGGCTGTGGACAGAGCACAGTCTGTAATGTATACCAGCTCTGATGACCTGGGCATGTTTTGAAGAGAGATTGGGAAGTCTGTGTGTGTGTGTGTGTGTGTGTGTGTGTGTGTGTGTGTGTTTGAGAACAGAGATTCTTTATTTTATTTTTTATTATTTTTATTTTATGTATATGAGTATATTGCCTATATGTGTGTGAATGCCCCATGTTGTGCAATGCCCATGGAGGTTGGAAAAGGGTGTTGTATTCCCCTGGAACTGGAGTTATGGACAGTTGTTAGCTGCCATGTGGGTGCTGAGAATCAAACCTGGGTCCTCTGTAAGAGCAGCCAGTGCTCTTAATTACTGAGCCATCTCTCCAGCCCTGAGAACAGAGATTCTTAAATACCAACCTGCATCAGAACCATGTGGAGGACTGATCACACTCACTACTCTCCATCCCTCTGACCCCATCTCTAGTTACTTACTCAGTTGGTTCTGAAATGATGGAGCCTGACAGTTTGCATTTCTATCACGTTTCCATCGATGTTGAGGGACCATACTGAGAGCTGCTAGTCTAGGGAAAGAGTCCCAGCTCTTAATGTGAGTAACAGTAGCTCGGTGACCCAGGGGACAGGAGCAGCCCTGGTCTGCATATTATAAGGCATGTCCTCCCTTCACCCAGGGTCTGAACTGATGCCCAAAGCCCTCTCTACACGCATCATCGGTGGCATCTGGTGGTTCTTTACGCTCATCATCATCTCGTCCTACACGGCCAACCTGGCTGCCTTTCTGACCGTGGAGCGCATGGAGTCACCCATCGACTCTGCCGATGACCTAGCCAAGCAGACCAAAATCGAGTATGGTGCTGTCAAGGACGGGGCCACCATGACCTTCTTTAAGGTGAGATACCCTCCTTCCCACTGCTGCACCACCTCTAGTGAGATTCCCTCCTTCCCACTGAGCTCACCCTCTTCAGACCCTTTATAGAGCAGAAGAGGAAAGGGGGAGCTCTGCCTTTCCTTCCCTCACTACTCAGAGTCCAGGACCCCCAAATCACAGGGTTCAACCCCTCCCTGTTTGGGCCTGTTCAGTGTACATAGCTACGGTGATATGAACCATGTAGATTGGTCTCAGATTCTAGAAGTTCCTGTACCTGGGGCAGGCAGTGTGAATCATCAGGGAAGGACAGACAGGAAAGGAGAGTGGACGGAGGAGGCAGGAGGAGAGGAATGGCCCAGACTCAGACAACCCTGGGGCCCGTAGATACCCTGCCCTTGACTTAAGGTCTCAGTCCATGCATCTCCAAGAGGCTAGCTAACTTTGGGGGTAGGGGAGCTGTCCACCTCTGAGAGCAGAGGGCATGACACCAAAGCATGGGGAGAGCTTGCCCTCGTAGGATGCCAGTATCTTCAGAGAAAGTCCTCGTCACTGCCCACACTACTGTTTTCACAGGTGTCTGGCCATGACTGTGTTGCTCCTCCAGCTTTGAAAGTGTTTCGCTCAGTTTCCCTGTTTTTCCCCTTCTATCATCTTGGTTGAGGTCAAGGGGACACTGGCTGACCCTGAGAAGCACTGGGTGTCAATGTGCTTCCAAATAAATACCAGTAGCTGTCAGCCCTGAGCGCTCATACTTGGCCAGGCTCTGCTTAGTGTATGGCCTTCCTTAACCTTCACAAGCCCTATGAGATTAGCGCTATAGGTATTCCAGTCCACGTGTAGAAACTGAGGCCTGAGCAGTTCAGTGGTTTATCTGAGACTCACCTCTGGCAGAGCAGGACCCCAGCCTAGCCTGCTTCTTCCCAAGGCTTACGTCTTAAACCAGTGCTGCTGGGATTTGAGAATGGTGTGTGTGTGTGTGTGTGTGTGTGTGTGTGTGTGTGTGTACGCGCATGCATGTGCACATATACTCAGGGACTGTGTTATCAGAAGGACTGATACTGGTCCCACTTTGGAGTGTCTGATTTAGGAGGTCTGAGATGGAATCAGTCTTCTAGGCTGGAGATGTAGCTCAGTTGGTAGAGTATTTGCCTAACATGCACCAAACCCTGGGTTCAATCCCCAGAGCTGCATACACAGGGTATGGTGGTACACACTTATAACCTCAGTACTTGGGAGGAAGAGGCAGAAGAATGAGAAATAAAAATTGAAAGTCATCCTCAGCTACAGAGGAAATGAGAGGCCATCCTACATGCCATGACGCCTTTCCTCAAAACAAAAATAAAAACAAAAAGGAATGTGATTTCTAACAAGTTCCCAGATGCTGCTGGAGCTGTGGCCGAGGACGCTTTGAGAAATGGTGCTCTAATTACCCCTTGGAAGCAACAAGCTTTGGGAACTGTGCCAGTGCATCCATACACTTGCTAATCAGCTGCCAGTCTGGAAGTCCAAGTATTTCCTTTTACTCAGAACCCTGGTTCCTCATCCCCAAGTTCCTTGCCTTCTGAGAGACCCCAAAAGATGGACTGAGCCCAATGGGGTCCAAGGAAAGAAAGGAAGAGGTTGGGTGGGTAATACCTCCATTCCACAGACACCAAAGTCCCAGCACTCTTCCTGGAAGCTCTGTGGCCTTCCTGAGACCTTAAGCAGCCAGCTTTGTGGTGAAGGGAAAGGAGGGAGAGGGGCTTGCCTTTGGACGTGGCTGCTGCCGCCGGAAGCTGAGCCACATTATCTGTCCTGGAGCTCACAGGATGCAGTGAGATCAAGGGGTGATGCATTTTAGGAGACTGGTGGAATTCTGTGAGTGGTAGCAAGTGTGACAGTATGTACACATGACATATAGAAATATGTATTTATGTACAAAATTCACGGGCAGTGCACAAAAGTCTGCCTGTGTGGGCACATGTAGACCTGTGCTTGGGTGTGAATGTTTGCATCTGTATGTACATGATGCATCTCTGTGATCTGAGAACATGGCTGTGTGTCTGTGAGTGCACTCAAGTACGTACCAGACTATCGTGTGTATGTGCACACAGAATGTATTTGTGTCTTATCTGCTTGAATGTCCCTCTGAGTGTGCCTGAATAAGCAGGGTGTTTGTTCACGTGCACGTGCGCGTGCACGTGTGGTGTGTGTGTGTGTGTGTGTGATGACCCATGCATGTAGGTATGTGCTTACTCATGCACCTGCCGGCTCGCTCCCTGTCCCCCGGCCACAGCCCAGCCCTTTGACTGCCAGATCCTCTCATGCATTAGGCATGAGTCGCTAAGCAGGGCTCCTGATCAAAGGGAAGAGGCATAAATAAGCCTGGTGCAGGCTCATCACAGCTGATTGGAGGCCCTTGTCTCCCGTCTCCCTCCCTCCGTGCCATGAAATGCTTGCCTTCCCAGAGCCCAGTCCCAGCTCCCCACCGAGCCTCAGCCCTCAGCATCAAGCAGCAGCTCCCTGCAGCCCCTCCATCCTCTCCCTCCTCCCCTGCAGACAGCACAGTGAAGAGGGCAGAGGAGGGACACAGATGCTGCCACCCCACCAGGACTGTGGGGTTCAAGGGCCATTATCCAAAAAGAGCAGCTGAGTGTCTCTAGGTAGGACCAACCCCACATCCATGCTCTTCTGACACCAATTAATCCTTCTCTGCCACCAGCCATTTTGTTCCAAGCTTGTGCCAGTACTTTACCTGTATTAACTGTCAGCATCTTTATAATAACCCAAGAGGTTAGATGAGTGTTAGCCACTCCATGCTACACATGATGAAAGCAAGGCTCAGAGAGGTTGATTGACTTGCGTAACAACCCACAGCTAGAAAAGTACAGTGCTGGGATCTGAGCCAAGCCTACTGTACAGCCTGTGCTGTTTGTCCTTTCGGTCTCGTTTCCCTAAGGATCTGGCCACAGTCCTCAGCAGTCTTGTGGGGAAAGCAAAGCTCTGTGGGTTGTCGATGCTGTAGATGGGGGAGGGTGGAATTGGAAGACCAGTACAGGAGGTAGTGGTGAGCATCGCAGCCAAGCAGGTGGCACCCATGAATGTCCCAAGTTTAAAGCAAGGGAACTTCATTTCTCTGGTTAGTATGTTCCTGGTTAGGCAGTACACATGGGGCTAGAGAGATGGCTCAGTCAGTAAAGAGCTTGCCGCACAAACATGAAGACCTGAGTTCGGATCCCCAGCACCTATGTAAAGCCAGGCCTGTTGGTACCTACCTGTAACTGCAGCAATGGGCAGGGACAGAGACAGGAGGCTCCTGAGAGCTCACTGACCAGCTAGTCTAGCCAATCCATGTTCAGTGAGAGACCCTGTCTCAAAAAATTAAGATGAAGATGATTGAGGAAGACACCAGATGTTGATCTCTGGCCTCCACATGCACACACACACACAAAATGGATGGATGGATAGGTGATAGATAGATAGATAGATAGATAGATAGATAGATAGATAGATAGATAGATAGATAGATAGATAGATAGATAGATAGATAGATAGATAGATAGATAGATAGATAGATAGATAGATAGATAGATAGATGATTGATAGATGATAGATAGATAGATAGATAGATAGATAATAATAATGATGATAGATAGATAGATAGGTAGATGATAGATAGATAGATAGATAGATAGATAGATAGATAGATAATGATGATAGATAGATAGGTAGATGATAGATGGACGGATGATGATAGATTGATAGATAGATAGATAGATAGATAGATAGATAGATAGATAGATAGATAGATGATAGATAGGTGATAGAGAGATAGAGCTAGATAGATAGATCCCCCCAGCTGAGAGTGGAACATGAGGGCAGGAAGAGCAGAAAGCAGGTATCAGGCTGTTAAGAGTCCCAGGCCCCTCCAAATCAGCCTGTGGCCTGCAGGGAGCTGTGTGGCTAGAGTCAGCTCCTTGATGCTAAAGAATGTTTGCTGGGAGAGTTGTCAGGGAGCAACAGCCATCACAAACAGCGTCTCCTATGTCGTCCTCCCTCTGTCTTGTAAGATAAAAATTAATTAGGAGATGAAAAAGGAGGCCTTTGAAAGCACTGTTTGGCTGTAAAAATATGTAGGCAAAATGTAAAGGAAGCTGTGGGGGAGGCGAGCGCCTTGCAGGGAAGCTGGGCAGCTTTGAAGGGAGAGGATGCTGGAAGAGCTTCTCAGGGATTCTGGCCTCTTCGAGTGGTGGGGCTGGGAGCTCAGCACAGTGGGGCTGCTAGGGAAACCCAGAAACCTCGAATGCCAGGCTCCCCAGCCTCAGACGTGGCTGAGCCCTCTGCCTTGCATAGCTTCAATTGCAGCATCTTACTTGAAAGGTGTTTGGAAGGGGCTGTCCCGCCTACTTCAGGCTCCAGCTGCACTGGAGACACTTCTCCAAGCTGGAGGGCTCAGGAGGCTGCCCAGACCTCAGCTCCCAGTGTCTCCAGCCCCTCTTCTGGCCTCTTCCACAGCCCTACCCCTGTCTTGCAGCAGAAACAGGGTAAGAGGACCAGGCAGCAGCCAGTATGGTCCAGCCTGATGCAACCGAGCACCATGCTTTAAAATCAAACAGACCAGAATGTCTTGGGTGATGTCTCTGCTGGGTGATCGTGAGCAAATCTCTCCACTTCTTCAAGCCCCAACTTGCTCACCCAAACAAAATGAATACTGATTCCTACCTTGCAACAATTTACAAAATTTAATGAGCCCCTGGACTTAGTGCTTATCCCAGTGTCAGGCCTCTCTTGCCCTGAAGTGCCTTCTTAAGGCAGGTGACTCAACCAGCGAACATACTGGCAATTAGAGATTCTCCCTTCTTCCAGGTCCCTCTGGACTGGGCCTACTGGGCTTTGTGGTAGACTTTGGCTCTTCTTATCATCACCATGTGTCTTTGTATAGAGAGAGAAGGGAGAAGGCTTGGGGTCCCTAAAATGGAAGGAGTCTAGAGAGAGCAGGCAGTGGGGCAGCAGCAGGTGTAGGCAAGGGTCAAAGATGGTGG